AAGACCCTTATTATTGAAATGGTTGTAAACTTTATTGGATTTCTAATGCGAGTTTATGGCTCTGCTCCGAGCTACCTGGAGATTGCCCATGCCTGATATAGTCCATCAATCGTGAAATCATCATTGGAAGAAGTCCTAAAATACTCTTTTTACATTGTTTTTTCTAGCTACTCATTAAATTAAATTGTCCCTGCCCTATATCGTATCTTTGGAATCTTCTATTATATACTTTCAAACTTGAAAAGTATTACCTAGCCTACGATTGCGTTTCTTTTTCTTTGTATGTTTGGCCAGCTTTTATTTTCAGCTCGAACTTATGGTGGATTTGATTAATTAACTGGTTTAATGATTTATCAATTGTGAATCACTTTTCTAATAATTTTTTTTGCACTGACATATTTGAAAATTCATAATTTTGGGACACAGTTTTCATTTTATTTTTTTACTTATCATTTTAAGACCCGCATGGACTATCTATCGAACGTGGTCGTATCAATTCTATCTTGTTAGCGTAAAATAGCGCGTAGTGCCGGGGGAACTTGTGAGCCATATAATATACTCGACAGCATCTCCAAAACATTAACTTAGGAGACATGTTATCGCGTATCTTGATTGATTGAAAGGAATCTTAGCTTACTGAAAAAAAATCAACAATGCTCAGCTGAGCATTGCTTTGCACTGGATTGAGTAACAGTTCGATGCAATGGTAATCTACGTATTTGTTATTATTTTTATGTACACTTGGGAAATCTATTTCAATCAATATCGCGATTTAGCACCCTTCAATCATTTTTCCTCTTTTCTTCATTATATTTTGGTGATTATTCGAGTGGCTCCCGCAACACAAATTTCATTCCAAATTTGAATATATTGTCGGCTAACAAGATTGAAGTGAACCACAAGAACACATTCGATAAATAGTCCATGTGGGCCTTAAGTGGTTGTATCACTCTCAGTCTTAAGCAGCTACTTAAAGCTTTGAATGGTTGTAGCTTTACTCTATCTTACAGGGTAAACTTTGAGTATAAAATCCCTTTTACTTCGGTTTACGGTGTGGTTATGACCTACGCACATGTTACTATTATATATGCAATAACTTACGGTAGTAGGTGGGTCAGTCGGTACAGATCCGGGTACAAATGTAGGAGAGCTGGATTAAAAGTTCATCGCTTCACCGACTGTTTCTTCGTAGGCTTTTGGTGGACAATTGCCAACAAAGAAAATTGTATGGCTTTGTGCCGAAAATATTCGTTAGTGGATGGATCCATCAGTTAACAAATACTTGTTATCTGCATATAATAATTTCCTTATTACTTATTTATTTTAATTATTATAAGTAATTGTATACAAACATGTTGACAAACCTCGAAGCTAATTGAGACAATCATCTACAATAGAGTCATTACCACATACTTTGCCTAAACATGATGATAATTGTTGTAGAAAAATAATTTATTCCGTTTTGTTACAGAGCATAATAGTGCCATTCTCTATAATGATAATCACCCGTATATTCTTCTGTGGCAGTCCCCAGCATTCTCAAAGTGGAAGTATGCTTTTTGCAGCCTTAATCCTGTGCAACATAAAGCCAGAAATAATCCATCGCCTACGAACGCCATCCAGTCTATTATGTACTGTCTGCAGAGAACTCTCCTTTTACTTATTCAGCTTCGTACTAATTTATTACTTATTCACGTCCTACCAGCAAGATTTCGAGTATCTTGCATCTAACAATATTGAAATCGTCCTTAATCACCAGACAGATATATAAAATACTTTAATTCAATCCCGAAAAAATAAATGTATTTGATTACAATAAATTGATTGATTTATTATTGCGTTCGCTGAAATGAATCACCGTGGCATTGATTATCAGCCTCAAAGACTGGTATGTAAAAGAAATAGGCTAGGAAAAATTCACCTACACATTCAAAACGTGTTAAAACCCACCCAAAATAATAGACCATAGGAAAATTATCATGAATCTTTTCTGTGATCTATTTCTTCAGGGATTCCACAGAACTTCCAATTATGAATAAATTAATCATATAAAGAATGTCAATTTGTTATTACAGAAACGAATAAAGATGTGGTGAAATCAAATGAGTCGACAGGAATTGGATTCTACTCACGAGTTATTATCTTGAGAACAAAAAAAAATTTGATTCTATAATAAAATTTTATATTTATATTATCTTTCAATCTAATCGTATATTGTGCACCAAGGGAGAAAAACGGAATTCTAACCCGTCTGTGGTAAACGCGTTTAAATGTCCTGTTTTCCTTCCTTGGTGTACATGGTTTTTTCCGTCATTACTACTCTGAAAAGTTTTATTTTTGTTTATGAATGACGGGAGGAACGTGGGTTATGTTATTCCGAAGATCTTCAAAAATAACAGAAATGTGTGGGATAGAATAGGCAGGCCACTTTCTTTCCATCATTTGGAGAGTAACGTGGAACTTTCGGTTTCGGTAAGTATGACGGAAAAAATTTTTCCACATTTTCTCATTAACATCTACATCATTTTACTATGGCTCATTATGCTTTATCATTATCCTGTGGAACACGAGTACTTTATAATTATTCGATCATTGGATAAATTTGCACATGTTTTGTGAGATATAAAAGTATTCGAATTCACTGTTGTTTATATCTGTATGTGATTGCAGGCTAGGAAAACCAGTTTAATAATTTTTTCTTTCTAATAGTTCAAAAGATTGTGAAAAAAAAGTATTCCTGAACTTTGAGATATGCGTTCTAGGGTAGCTGTTTAAATTGCTTATTTGCATACAGTTATGCCTTCATATTAGACATACTTTTGCCCTTTAACTCCATAAGCACTTGTTTTCTCACAACGTCAATATGACCTAATTTAATCATTTTTTCTTCCCAATTAATCATCTCTTTTTTGTACTGCTCCATCAATTTCGTCGTTTCATTTTCGAACTTCACTTTAACATCTGCAGGGGCTTGATTCCACTCTTTAGCAGCAATACTCATCCACTCCTAAAATTTGAAAAAAAAAAGGAAAAGTAATGTAAGGAACAATAAGATCACATCTATTGCTTGCTAAATGACCTCTAGCGGTGGAACGGGGAAAGGGGGATGGAATCCTGATTGCGAAAGTATGGATAACATTTGTCTGTAGTGATTTTGTGTGCGAAGTGTTTCGATGCCTTATTAACGGATTTCGAAGATAGAAATAATTGCAATAACCGTTGTAGTGAAAGGAAAGGTTGCCCAAAATACGTACATTGTAAACATTTGAATTTTGGGTTGATCTCTGGACATTCTACTCGAATTGCATGCGATTAGACCTTAAAATGGTAGTATTGCTGCTATACTGTTGAATCTAGTGAATGATTACTATGGCTATAGATTTTGATATCATTTTTCGTTGATTTTTCTTTTAGGTTTTCAGCCTAATTTTCAGATTTGGAACGCATTCCGATTTCGATTTTGTTCCAGTGGCTCGGAACGAAACAAAATAGTATCGTTCTAACTTAGGAGTAAAACTCGAAACGAAAGTCGTCGAACGACAATTAAGTCTACAACCTTCATACAACTTAATGGGTCAGTTTTTGAAAAGTATACTATTGTACTTTTTGAAGAATGGTTTGGAGACCAAATTTTGATGACTTTTCGAGAACAATATAGTTTTTGATTACCAATGGAACCCTAGTAATCGATTATTGACTCGATTTTCCAATTTTTTAATTTTTAAACTGATGTAGAATGCCATGGAGCGAGAAAATACGCAGTTTGAAGTGCATGTGTGTATACTAAAGTCAGCATAAGCTTTTACTTCTCTGGGTACCCCCACTCCACGTAGTTACCACTTGTAACTATGTCCCCCCCTCCTAAAATCAATGTTAAAACTTATGCTGACTTCAGTATATGTACTAGACCTATTCGTTCCTCAAGCCATATTTACTACATGTCAAAAGCAACTTTGAACACTATTATTTGACATAATAATAAGGATAACGCAGGCCGGTTTAATTTATGTTGCTGTTGTTTTCGCGATTGAGGGTCATTACAACAGTAGAAAGCTAGTGATACATGTTAACCTTGAATATAAGATGAAGAACATTTTTTTTCGCACTTGCATGGTTTTCAAGTAGGTGGAAATGATACATTTTTTTAGATTTCCGATGAATTGCTTTGTAATTGAGAATATCTCAAAAACAATTCAGTTCGTCGAAAAATTGAAAGGAACATTTGTTTAACTCGAAAAATTCTCTACAAACATAGTCTGTTTAAAGTATAACCCTAACAATTAGAAAAATATCAACGAATTTTCCTCGACAATTTTCGGACATTTGCGGGTTGCCAAGAGGGCAACGGTCAAGACGACTCCCCCCCCCATCAGGTTCAGTTACATTCCGACTATCATCTGAATAAGTTCGCTTTTCACCGTATATATCAACGTACATTAACACGTTTAACGCAACGAACTACTATCCATTAATCTCGATAATAATTGGTCTTGTCAACGTAACTTCGTGTCAATTAGCGATTCCATCCAGCTTCATTTAATTCAGCGGGACTCGCAGATTAAAGGCGCAAATTGTCGCCCTTTTATACATCAACGCAACACAAACCGTACTCTTGCAAATTCAACTAGTTGCTTTAATACTTCATTAATTCAATGATATCTCTCTATTGTTTAATTCGTCCAAACCCGTAACTCAACAATTTATTTATTTGCAACGAAACTCTGCATAAAGTGTAAATAACGTTGAACGTACAACTCTCGTTCAATAAGACGGTTTGCCTTGCGGCTCAATCCTTGGGGTCATTCTTTTCAAACTGTGCTTACACCAAAATTCCTATTTCCCGACAGCCGACCGCCCTTCATTGGTAGTTCAACTCAAACATGATTGTATGAAAAATTGTCTCAAACCTCTATATTCTGCAGATATTTGCAAAATCTTCCACAAAATCGATACACGGAGAAGAAAAAATTATTTTGCCATGAATATTTCTTAAGCACAAGAAAATATATTTGGAATTAGTAAATCTTATAGGCGTATTTATATAGTAATTACCAGATTTACTGGTAGGAAGAAAATATATTTAGCGGAAGAAGTTTTTTTTTGTTACTGTGCGGATATCTGTATATATATATCTGACAATTTCATTAGGTGTTTATCTTTTCTTTCCAAGTCTCGCGCAAATATATCCAAATACGTGCCTTAGAATTCCATCAAATATAGTTGTTTAGTGTTCACAGATGTTTCAGGTAAGCTTTTCTTTTCCCCCGACGAAACAGTAATTTTTATACAACAATATATTGTGCATGAAGGGCGGACAGTTAGTGTTTTCCCGCCCGATGTGCGCATGCTATTTTTCTACATGGCTGCAAAGGAACCTTCGTGTTTTGCTGTTTGAAAGGCGGGAGGAAAGAGAATATTTTTCGCCCTAGGGTACCTTGGTTGAAGGATTTGTTCTCTAGGAGATGAAGATCTATAACTTCTTTTGTTATACACCTTTGCTAATGCTCGAGTAAATTCAGATTTCATTAAAAAAGAGGGTAGATTTATTTAGAACAAATTATTGCCCAATGGGACGGCGGAATGACTATCGGGTTCGACAGAGACGTATTAGATATTAAAGTTTGAGTTTGACATTTTGATGGTCGAAATAATATCTGGTTTCTAGGTCGTTAGGAATTTTTCTGGCGATTGTGAATTTACAGTCCGAGGCAAAGCCGAGTGGGCCTGATTTTTAATTATTATAAATTAGGATGTTTTGTGATTGTGCGGCAGGATAATTGGAATCAAAAGAATTTTTTTAATATTCAAAAACATTTTTCCTACTAGCTAATTTTTGTAAGGTTTACAAGCTCAACCGAAATCGACCTCCGCAATTACTCATCTGCAAAACGAGATTTACGATCCAGTGGTGTACGATATTTCATATTTTAGTGTGCAGCAACCGACCAATTACTTAATTAATTAATTGTAATCTGCCAGTTACTGCACGTTAAAATGTAAAAGGAAATAATGAATTTCGTCACTATTTGAAACAGATAAGCGTCTTGCGACTACTACTAACCGAGAATTTCATGTCTTTGCTTTTGGTGTGAGCTCTGGACAACATGAAGAGAATGAACATCGTTGGAGGTTTCTTCGGCTTTCCAAGTTCTCTCAATCTCTAGGAGAATAATAAAAAAAATGTGTTAGAATACCATGTAAAAGACGTAGTCATATTTTAATAAGTGTTGGAATGCTGTAATTATATTACACGGTATATAGCTTATGTCGCATTTTTTTCAATTTGGCACGAAATTTGTGCATAAAATTATCCTATCAAACAGGGAATGTCTTCCCTATCAAGGGAAGACTGTTTCAAAAAATTCTTTTTGATTTTTCAATAATAAGATACATCATAGCAAAATCCCAATGACCTCAACCTCGTTTGGAAAGCCCCAATTATTCACGTTATAGAATCCACTTGATTGCTCTTGACTGCGTAAAATTAAAAAGCCGTTTTCAAAAAAAGATTACATGTGGTAACGCTGTGATCAAATCTCGTCGTTTTTTATTTCAAAGTAAAAGTGAAATTCAGTGCCTAGAGCTGAAGAGCACTGAAGATTTCAGATCACCCAGCGGCCTAATTATGAGCATTTAGATTAAATTTTGTATTTATTAGTGCTGCATATCAAACAATATTACATACTAAATAGATTACATTTTTATCCTTACCGCCTTCATTTTCATCTTCTCACTAGTTTCGATGGCCTTAAATTTTTCAGCCTTAATATTCCTCTTCTGTTCTTCAGTTAGATTCTGATCGTAAATCATAATTTGCTTTGTGTAATCCTCTAACTGCTTCAAGTATGTTTTCTTCAGCGCCTCCTTTTCAGTTGAGCTGAAAGTTTTCCATCCTTCAGCCAATTTCTTCATGACTGCAGTAGGCACTAATCCTGGATTTTCTTTCATAATTTTTGGCCTCTCTAACATAGCATATACGATGAATGGAGTCATTGGCCTCTTTGGCCTGGGTGCTATACCAAGTTTCTTTTCTATCACACGTGACTTGAATGTTACACACGGTTGATAGAACAGTAAGCTTTTTCTGGAATGCAAATAAACAATTACGTGAATTTTTTTCCAATCTGGATGTATACAAAAATATATTAGAATCGAAAATAACCTCGAATAGTTTTCCAGTTATGTTTGACACTGATTTAATCGATGGAATGGAAGAATTTCTTCAAGCAGAAAAGAACATTTGAATTTTTTCTACGAAAACCTTCAAGCTTAGAATGGAATTGTGAAGAAAAAGAATTGATTGGCAATAAATGTATAGTTTGCAATTGATTTTCTGACTTATTGTGACACCACTTCTGATTAACCTTGTGAAATACGAAAAATTGGCAAAAGCAAGTAATGCCCATGCAATTTCCAAATTGAACCTCTCACATTTTTCTATAAATTTAGCCTTTTGCAAAGATATTTATTCAATAGCTTATCGTAATAATCCCTCTTGTAAGGGGATTCCACAAAGGAGATGAAAATTAACGGAAGAATTGAACTTTTTCAGTGTTAAATTTGTTTTCCTTCATTTATCACTGTAAAATCTAAAAAAATTGATCTCTACTCCTTCTACATCACTTTATAACAGTTGATGAGGTTATGTTCATTCCTCCACGAAATTTTTTTTTCTCGCTAGTAGAAGAACTATAAATAAAACTTATTGAAAATCATTGTGAAATCAGTACTATTGCAAGTAAAAATATGAGTATCTTTACCTAATCGCCGAGAAATTTAAATAATAACTCATCGAACTGTCTAGAGCAGTAAACAACCTTAAGTACCCTGCCATACTTGTTTAGATCATTTGTGCAGCAGTCCGGTACTCTTAGCAGAGATTATAGGGGAGATTGCTAACGCCAATGGCGAAGCTTCAACCGCGAAATTTCCTAGCGGAACTGGCGGAACTAATTTTGCGGGTGTACCTGTGAATCAAACAGGT